GGCAACTGTCTCTCTATTCAGGAAATACCTCACGTGCCGGGTGAACCTTCAGCTGTGTCTGCACGGGAAAGAGGAGGTGAGGAATATCATCGTGGTTCAAAAATGCTTTCAAGTACTACGATGAAATGATTCTTTATTAGGCATTTGGAAGTTTATATCACCAAACAGTCTACAAATAGCAGGTCTGATGGAAAATGAGTTTAATTCCTTGAAAGGTCAGGCTCCTTTTGAGTTACGGATTGAATTTTTCTCTCTTAGCTTTGTTTATTAATATTTATGACTGAAATGATGGATGAGACAAGGAAAGATCCATGAGTGTTTCCAGAGGTTCCCCCGATTTAGTATTTGCTCTCTTTACTCACAAGGAGGGCTGAAATATTAAATATCCTTTTCCATCTGCTGTCTTGCCCTTGAATGACAGGGGGTAACTTTTTGTGTGTGTCTTCTGTGAACACAGGAAGGATTTTAACCAGCCCTCTGAGTGGTAGAAATGTCAGAGCTTGACTGTTTTTGTCAGTGAACTTTCAATTGCAAATAGAAGAAACACAGCTCAAATGGGCTTAAGGGAATTACTGGCTGCTGTAGCTGAAAAGCTCCAAGACAGCCTTAGGTCTAGCTGGATCCAGACCCTTAGACATCTGGCTGGAAACCCACCCAACTTTACCTGCTGTCCCTGCCTTCCTCTTCTGGCTTCATTCTCTGGCAGGGGCTGGATCCCCGCAGATCTGGGGGGGGGGGGCTTTTCCTCGAAGCATCCAGGAGAGACCCTGTCAACACCTCAATTTTAGGCTTCTGGTTTCCAGAACCGTGATAATTTCAGTTGTTGTAAAATTTATTTCCCAGGCTGTTCTAAGAGTCCTGGGAAGCCAATATAGCTAGCATGGAACAGGGGACACCCAACAGGACGTTTTTGGGTGAGCTCTGTTTGACTGACTGCAGGAGGTGTTGTGGTTTGAGATTACACACATGACCGTGAGGCTGAAATCTGGGAGGCAGTCTTGCGCTGTACGAGCCACTGTTTGGCTGGAGAAGCGCGTAATAGCGGTCCCCCGCAGCTGGGAGCACAGGCAGGGTGTGCCCGGGCTCGCTGGCTGCATCAGCTTTCTGCAGAAAGCAGACAGGAACCACAGCTGCCTTGCACGCATATCTGCAAAGGGAGGTAGAGATGGCTCTGTCTCCAGTTCCCTTCCTTTGCTGGACTCCATGGCTTTGCACGTAGCTTTTCCTAGTTGCTGATATTCAGCTTTCCTCCAGGAGGTAAAATACCCACCAGTGCATTAAATAACCAATCAACCCACCAACCAACTAACCAGCCAACCAGCCATCCAACCAACTGAATAACCAGCCAATTAACCATCCAGCCAATCCACCCAACAACCAACTAACAGACCATCCAACCAACTCACTGACCAACTAACCAGCCATCCAACCAACTGAATAACCAGCCAATTAACCATCCAGCCAATCCACCCATCAACCAACTAACAAACCATCCAACCAACTTGCTGACCAACTAACCAGCCATCCAACCCACCAATGAACCAACCTTTCCACCAATTAACAAACTAAACAACGTGTCAACCAACCGTCCATCTATGGATCTATCCATCCAACTAGCTATCAGCCACCCACCCACCTATCCATCTATCCATTGATCGATCCATCCATCCATCCATTTGTCCATCCCTCCATTCAACCATCTATCCATCCACTCACTCAGCAGTCAACCAAGCCCTGATCCATCCATATATCTAAACAGCTACCATCCATCTATCCATCATCCATCCAACTAACTAAACAACCAGCCAACCAGCCAGCCAATCAATAAGCCAACCAATCTATCAAGCAATTAACCAGTCAGCCAACTAATGAACATACCTGCCAGGCAACCCACAAACTACTAGCCAACTAGTTAGCCAACTAACTAATCAATTAACTAACTAATCAACCAGCTAGTGAACAACATTCAGGCGTCAATCAATCATTGGGAGAAGCAGGGAAATATAGATTGATTACTCATGGTTTTAGCAAAGTATGGTAAATAAACACCTCCCCACACATGTGTAGTGGAGGTCGGCCAATGGTGGGAGGCTGCTGGCGTGCTGCGCCTTCACCAGCTGTGTTGGAACTGCAACCGAGCATTGGCATTTATTCCCCCCTCAATGGCTGTCTCCTTGGAACCACACACCTGCAGTACTGAGATCTCTTGTAACTAAAATAACGCTTACGTTTGCCAAAACGTGAAGTTTCTGATGGATCCAAAGCTATGCACAGGATCCTCGAGTGCCCACCTGCGCACGGTGTCCCTCCTGGACGTCCTCCGTTCTCAGAGCGGAGCTCCCGCTTCCCCAGCGCGGCCTTCACAATACCTGTCCCCGCGGTCCACATCTCAGCACCATGGAGAGCACACGAGGGGCATCTCCGCAGGTCCCCTGGTGGGGAGTGCCCTCCTGCTCCCTGGACTCTGTGTCGTGCACTGTGCCAGGTTCAGCCGGGCGCTGGAAGGCGCTGCCAGCACGGCATGACTCTGCCAGCCCTCAGGTGTCTGGCAGGAGATGGGGCTGCATCCTCCATGGCTAATTTATCACAGAGAATGTGGTTTGCCAAGTGAAAGCTCTCTGCAGCTTAATCTTAATCACGCCCAATTGTAAATGGTGTGTGTGTGTGTGTGTGTGTGTGTGTGTGTGTATATCATACCCAGCTGGCACTGGTATGGGTCAGGATCTCTGCCACTTCACACGCTGTGCTCCTGAGGTTAAGAACCCCTGAACCCAGGGATCTACCTGGGTGGTGTTGCCCCTGCCCTTCCCTGGGCAAGGGCACAGGAATGTCGCTCATTGGGCCCCCGTGTCAGCCCTCAGAGGACCCCCAGGGACCGATGGCACCTTGGAGGGAGGCCCTGCATTCTGCCAGCGTTGATGGCGCTCCTCCTGTTTGCCAGGCATGCCTCTCAGCCGCAGGGATGAGGCAGGAACAGGAACACACATCCCGTGGGGAAGGTGAGCGAGGCCACGTGTGGGTGTGTGCGTGCGGGGAGGGGGGCGGAGGGAGGGGCGTGCGTGCGGGGAGGGGGGAGGGGCGGAGGGAGGGGCGGCCCGGCCCTTCCACTGCCTGGTCTCGGGGTCTCATCCGAGCCCGCTCTGCCGCAGCGCCCCACCGGCTGAGGACAGGCCACGGGCCCGGCCGGCGCACGTGCTGCTGGTTTTGAGGGACTTTCCTTGTGGGCGTTTGTGTTGTGTCCGAGGCCAAGGGTGAGCAGAGTCTGACCGAGGAAGGGGGCAGTGCGCCTGAGGCCGGGGGTTGGCAGAGGATGGCCGGCATGGGGGGATGGCCAGGCGGGTGGGGGGCCCCACGGCCGTGCCCCGGGGCGGTGCTCTGCCAATCCATCGCGCTCTGTGGGACCCCACGGTTTCACCGTCCATGTCGTTATTTGCACGAAGACGACGCAAACACATATGCGCGTGTCTGGTGTGCGTGTGACCCGGGTGAGCTGTGGGTGTGCAGGCCGGGGCCGGTCCCTTCGGGCCTGGGAGGGGTGGTGTGAGCCGGGGAGGTGGGGTGAGGGACTGGGAGCCAGCGCCCAGGTGATGCCGGGGGCGCCCTCCTGCCGCAGCCTCCCGTCGAAGGGGACGGGGTGGGCGGCGGGGAGGCCCGGTCCTCGGAGCCCTGAACCCATGCGGAGACAGCCACTGGGCCCTGGCCTCAGGTCGTCTGTCAGAGTGGGTGGGGGCAGGGCCCGGCGCGGCCCCCTCAGCCCCTTGCAGGAGGAGCCGCAGGGGGCCCGGCGCAGCTGTGGGGCCGGGGCTCGGCCAGAACAGCAAGGGCTCATGCCCAGCCCACAGCGGCGGGCGGGACCTGCCCGCTGCACACAGGCTCTGGAACATTCTCTCCAGCTGCTGGAAGGCCGAGCGCGGGGCAGACAGGGCGCCTCTGTCCGTGGCGTGCATGAATTAACTCCAGGAACATGGCTGTGCAAGAACGGAGGCTTTGTACGAGTAGCAGACGTAATCCACAGAGCCCGGTGGGACCCGGCCGGGGTGAGGGGCACCTGTGGGGTGGACGGCCCCCCTCGGGGGCAGGGGCTGGCCCCGAACCGCAGGGAACAGCGGATGGCAGAGGCCGGAGAGGCCTGGAGGAAGGGGGAGGGGCGGGAGCGTGTCTTCTGTTTAATTAGATGTGCAGTGATCTGAGCGCCCCCACCCTCCCCCCCAGCCCCAGGGTCCCAGAAGTTGGCAGCAAAACCAGCCCAGAGCTCAGTCTAGCCACTTCAGGTTTTCCCTCCGCGGGTCTCACAGTTTGGCTGTTTCTTTCAGGTTTCGCTTCCGATAAGTCCTTTGTTGTGTCTTGTTAGGTGTCCTCTGTTCTGGGGATGGGACGTTTGCCTGCTTCCCTCCCCCCGTTTTGAGATTAAGGTTGCAGCGTTCAACCAGGCGCTTCCAGCCGACAGCTTAGGGCGTTTACCACGTCCACTGCCTGTGCAGGCACCACCTCCTTTATTTCTAAAACCGTGCTCAGCAGAAATCAAGAGGATCGTGCGTCAAGGCCAGCCAGGGCAAAAAGTGGAGTGAGTGCGTGGTGAGGTGGGCTGGGATGCCCTGGGCTGTGCACCGTGTGATGGTGGAGCAGCGCTCCTGTGTGGCCGCACCCTGCGCCCGGGCACCTTTCCAGGGAGTGCCCGTGTCTGCGGCCTCACCAGGCACAGCCCCCAGAGGAGCGCGGCTCTGACACACAGACCAGGCAGAGCACTAACGCAGGTGGCAGAGCGCGGGGCTCACGCGTGGGCATTTACAGGAAGCTGCTTTTAGACGTAGTCTCACTGTAGCACAAACTGGCCTCAAACTCGCAGTCCTGCTTCAGTGTCCCAGTGCTGGGATGACAGGGTGTGTTGCTATGCCTGCCTTAGGACCTCCTGGGGAAGGAGTCGTTTGTGCGCGCTCTTCCCTGCGTGCCGGGGTGGGCTGGTGCTCCCTATCTGACCGCCTGCTCTCCTCACCTTGCAGGATGAAGGCAGCCGCTGGCGTGAGGATCATGGCGGTGAGGCTCAGCAAGGAGGACCAGTGGGCGGTGCAGGAGGAAATAGAGCACAGCAGCACCCAGACCACGGCGGTCCTGGCCTGCGTGGGCCACCACGCTGCCACGCAGAGCAGGTGAGCGCCACAGGCCGGCCCGTGCTGGGGACTGGGCGTGGGGGAAAAGCGTGGACTTGGAGTCACGGAGTGCTGGGGGCCGTGCGTCCTCTGTGTGTGAAAGGCCGCGTGTCCTGTGTGTGTGTGTGAAAGGCAGTGTGTCCTGTGTGTGTGTGTGTGAAAGGCAGTGTGTCCTGTGTGTGTGTGTGAAAGGCAGTGTGTCCTGTGTGTGTGTGTGTGAAAGGCCACGTGTCCTGTGTGTGTGTGTGAAAGGCAGTGTGTCCTGTGTGTGTGTGTGTGTGTGAAAGGCAGTGTGTCCTGTGTGTGTGTGTGAAAGGCAGTGTGTCCTGTGTGTGTGTGTGTGAAAGGCAGTGTGTCCTGTGTGTGTGTGTGAAAGGAGTGTGCCCTCTGTGTGTGTGTGAAAGGCCACGTGTCCTGTGTGTTTGTGTGAAAGGCAGTGTGTCCTGTGTGTGTGTGTGTGAAAGGCAGTGTGTCCTGTGTGTGTGTGTGTGTGTGAAAGGCCACGTGTCCTGTGTGTGTGTGTGAAAGGCAGTGTGTCCTGCGTGTGTGTGTAAGGAGTGTGCCCTCTATGTGTGTGTGTGAAAGGCCATGTGTCCTGTGCGTGTGTGTGTGAAAGGCAGTGTGGCCTGTGTGTGTGTGTGTGTGTGTGTGTGTGAAAGACAGTGTGTCCTGTGGTGTGGGGGCTGGGCATCCTGTGTGTGTGTGTGTCCTCTGTGTGTGTGTGTGTGTGTGTGTGAAGGTGGGTGTCCTCTGTGTGTGTGTGTGTGTCCTGTGTGTGTGTGTGTGTGTGTGTGTAGAGGTGGGTGTCCTCTGTGTGTGTGTGTGTTCTGTGTGTGTGTGTGTGTGTGTGTGTCCTGTGTGTGTGTGTGTGTGTGTGTGTAGAGGTGGGTGTCCTCTGTGTGTGTGTGTGTGTTCTGTGTGTGTGTGGAGGTGGGTGTCCTGTGTGTGTGTGTGTGTGTGTGTGTGTGTGTGTGTTTGTGTGGAGGTGGGTGTCCTCTGTGTGTGTGTGTGTCCTCTGTGTGTGTGTGTGTCCTCTGTGTGTGTGTGTGTGTCCTCTGTGTGTGTGTGTGTGTACAGGTGGGTGTCCTCTGTGTGTGTGTGTGTGTCCTGTGTGTGTGTGGAGGTGGGTGTCCTGTGTGTGTGTGTGTGTGTGTGTGTGTGTGTGTGTGGAGGTGGGTGTCCTCTGTGTGTGTGTGTGTGTGTGTGTGTGGAGGTGGGTGTCCTCTGTGTGTGTGTGTGTGTGTCCTCTGTGTGTGTGTGTGTGTGTGTGTGGAGGTGGGTGTCCTCTGTGTGTGTGTGTGTGTGTAGGTGGGTGTCCTGTGTGTGTGTGTGTGTGTGTGTTTGTGTGGAGGTGGGTGTCCTCTGTGTGTGTGTGTGTGTCCTCTGTGTGTGTGTGTGTGTGTGTACAGGTGGGTGTCCTCTGTGTGTGTGTGTGTGTCCTGTGTGTGTGTGGAGGTGGGTGTCCTGTGTGTGTGTGTGTGTGTGTGTGTGTGTGTGTCGGTGGGTGTCCTCTGTGTGTGTGTGTGTGTGTGTGTGTGGAGGTGGGTGTCCTCTGTGTGTGTGTGTGTGTCCTCTGTGTGTGTGTGTGTGTGTGTGTGTGTGTGGAGGTGGGTGTCCTGTGTGTGTGTGTGTGTGTGTGTGTGTGTGTGGAGGTGGGTGTCCTTTGTGTGTGTGTGTGTGGAGGTGGGTGTCCTCTGTGTGTGTGTGTGTGTGTGTGTGTGTGGAGGTGGGTGTCCTCTGTGTGTGTGTGTGTGTGGAGGTGGGTGTCCTCTATGTGTGTGTGTGTGTGTGTGTGTGTAGGTGGGTGTCCTCTGTGTGTGTGTGTGTGTGTGTGTGTGTGTGTGTGTGTGGAGGTGGGTGTCCTCTGTGTGTGTGTGTGTGTGTGTGTGTGTGTGGAGGTGGGTGTCCTCTGTGTGTGTGTGTGTGTGGAGGTGGGTGTCCTGTGTGTGTGTGTGTGTGTGTGTGTGTGTGTGTGGAGGTGGGTGTCCTGTGTGTGTGTGTGTGTGTGTGTGTGTGTGGAGGTGGGTGTCCTGTGTGTGTGTGTGTGTGTGTGGAGGTGGGTGTCCTCTGTGTGTGTGTGTGTGTGTGTGTGTGTGTGTGTGTGTAGGTGGGTGTCCTCTGTGTGTGTGTGTGTGAGTGTGTGAGATGGGTCGTGGTTGCTGGGTGTAGTGAAGCGCTGCACAGGCAGGGGTGGGAGGCTGAGGGGGCAGGGTGGCTGCGCTGGGGTAACCGTCCCTTGCAGCTCCAGCCGCCATTTTGGTGCTGTCTCCTGTGGCTTCAGCGTCTGTGGGTGGCCGGATGGCGCCGCTGGCTGGCAGCCTGCTCCTGCTCAGGTGCCCAGGTACCTTGGCAGGCCGAGCATTGTCCTGTGAGCGCGCATGTGTGGGACGCGGCACGTCCGGATGTGCCCGGCCCTCACTGGTGACGTCCAGGCCGCTGTCTGTGAGGGTGACTCCAGAGCCTTGGTCCGCCAGTGTGTCTCCTTGGGAAGGTGGCTTGGGAGGGAGGCCTGGGCTGGCCGGTGCCAGGGGTGCTGTCGCTGGCAGTGCCAGCCCTGGACTGGGGTGCCGGGCCTGGACTGGGGTGTAGGCCTGGACTGGGGTGCTGGGCTTGGTGGTGCTGGCCCTGGACTGGGGAGCTGGCCCTGGACTGGGGTGTGGGCCTGGACTGAGGAGCCTGCCTTGGACTGGGGTGCGAGCTTGGACTGGGGTGCGGGCCTGGACTGGGGAGCTGAGCCTGGACTGGGGAGCCGGGCCCCACACTGTCACCGCCCTGCCATTGCTGTGAGCAGGTGGAGCGTCACTTCCTGGTCTGTGACACAGTCTGGGTCCCGGCACAGGACAGGAACGTTGCTGATCTACCCTGCAGACCTGGGAATGTTCTAGAAGTGGTTATCACTGTCTACGCTTTGTGAGATCTAGTCTTTTTGCATTCTGTTTAGATGAGATTAAAAAAGACAACAGGAGAACACAGCAAGCTCTGCAGGCTCGTTGGGGCTGGAGCTGGTTCTCCTCCTCTCACCTTTGCGTTAGTGTTGGATGCGCGGGACAGCCTGTCCCCCAGAACCATCCGTCGGCCCAGGGACGGCTGCCTTTTATCCTTGTGGGTTGGAGGGGTCGGTGAGGGGTGAGGCCTGGCCGCCACGTGCCGGGCTGGGAGTTTCTCATAGACAGTCACATCAAACCGCCTGACAGTCAGTGATAAGAACTGGAGGTGTGTGTGTGTGTGTGTGTGTGCGTGTGTGTGCGCATGTGTGTGTGCGTGTGTGTGTGCGCACACGTGTGTGTGCGCGCGCGCGCATGTGTGTGTGCGTGTGTGTGCGCGTGTGTGTGCATGTGTGTGCGCATGTGTGTGCGTGTGCGTGTGTGTGTGATCCCCAATGCTCCGGAGGGTGGCAGAAGCCTCAATGTAAGATGTTTTAGTGAAGGCTCATTGTGAAGGTGGGGGTAACGGAGACGGAAGCACCCGCCAAGCGTCATGCCGCCCAAGAGGAGAAACTCGAGAAGGAATAAATGTGGAAGCAGGTGGAGCAGAGAAACTCAGAGCTGGAGGGAAGGACAGCCAGAGGAGAGGCCACCCGACATGTCCGGGAGCGGCGTCCCGTGACGCCGTCGGCCTCAGCGATGCCCAGGGGCCGGTGGGAGGAGGCGAGAGAGGCCGCGTCAACCCTTGCCAGGTGAAGTTCAGGCGCTGGAAGGGAGCCTTCCGGCATGTTCCTCCGCTCATTCTCATCCAGAAAGCCGGGCTGCCTCGGTCACCGTCCGTTACCGAGGACGGCCGGCACCTCCCATCCGGTGGCGTGAGCTGGGGACGGCGACCATGTAGGGAGGAGAGGTTTACTGCCAGCAAGACCCTTCTCACAAGAGAGAAGCAGCGCCCGCTGTTGTCTGGGTGACTGGTTGAACCTCCGAGGTGTCGGAGGCGGAGACCTGGCGTGGACGTGTGGGCGTGTGGGCTGGGGGCTTCATCGTGGTGGATTAGGGTTGATGGCTACCGCCCAAGTGGCAGAGAAGGGGACCCGCAGCCTCCCAGACCCGAAGGTCACTCTAAGGGACCTTGCTGCCCAATGTGGTGGTAGCGGCCCGAGCAGTGCCATCCCACGGTGACGGGAGGCAGGCTGATGATCCACTGCCTTCACTCCATGGGCCTCGTGCTGGCTGTGAGGGAGGAGGCCACTGCACCAGCAGATGCCCGTGGCATGGTGAGATGCCCGCTCACCTGTGGCTGGCACAGAGCGGAAGAGGAGGACACCGCCCCAGCAGCACCCGGGGCAGAGCCGGCCTGATGTACCTGAGCCCGCAGGACCAAGGCTTTCTGTGAAGTTTGACTGTGATCCTTAAGTGGCTTACCATGTGACTACAAGATCACTTGTAGGTAAAACTCAAACTGGCTGTACCTGTGTCTGAGACTCAGGGAGGAGGAGGAAGAGGAGGAGGAAAAGGAGGAGGAGGTGGAGGAGGAGGAGGAGGTGGTCATCCAGCAATGGTGGAAGCTCTCTTGCTTACCCAATCAGTTTATGTCACTTTCCTTCCTCTTCTTCCTCTGCTTCCTTCTTTCTGGTAGTCCTGGGTTTTAAACTTCGGGCCTTATAGCTTGCTTGGCAGGTACTCTTCCTTTTTTTGAAATCAGTCCTGGAGCTTGAACTTAGGGCCTGGGCGCTGTCCTTGAGCTCTTTTGCTCAAGGGGAGCACTCTACTACTTTGAGCCACAGCTCCACTTCCAGTTTTCTGGTTGTTCATTGGAGACAAGTCTCATGAACTTTCCTGCCCAGGCTGGCTTCAAGCTGCGATCCTCAGATCTCAGCCTCCTGAGTGGCTAGGATGACAGGCTGAGCCCCTGGCGTCTGGCAGTGAGGGTCTTTCTGCTGGCTGGGTTGGAGCTCGCCGGTTTGAATTTACGGATCTGCCACCGGTGTTCTGTTGGAGAAATGCCCAGGCCCTTTAATTTCTCTGTTGTTGGGAGGCAGATGAAGTTTTTTTTTCTTTAGCAGAGTGATTGGACACAGGATAAGGGTTGCATAATGCTGTAGTTAAACACAGCAGAGAGCTGACGGATCGGCCGTTGCTCTGATCTTGCTGTAATGGGAAGATGATATTTAGTCATCTGAAAGGACCGCAGTGCTGATTAATGTGCTGCGTTTTGGTGGCGAGCGGCTCACTAGGACCGGCCGCTCGTGCTCAGTGGTGAAGGCGCTGGACCCTGGGCGTCCCCTGGGTTGAGAGGTGACAGAGCCGCTGGAACTTGCTTTCAGGAATGACCAAGTGCGAGCGTTTCACAGATGCAGCGCTGCCTGCCCCACGGGAGCCGCCTGCGTAGCCCATGCGTCCGTGGTATTTGGCTGGCTTTCTTTGTGTCTTTTTGGTTCATTGGGGCCAGCATTCAAGGGGCCCTGTTTGTTTGCAGATACATGTGTGGGGTACACCTGGTGAGGAAGGGCGTGGTGACCCCCAGTCAGATGAGGGTGGGTGGCGGCCGTGGGGCGGGTGGCGGCCGTGGGGCGGGCAGCGGCCGTGGGGCGGGCAGCGGCCGTGGGGTGGGTGGCGGCCCTGGGGCGGGCGGCGGCCGGCCGTGGGCCGGTGGTGGCCCTGGGGCGGGCGGCCCTGGGGCGGGTGGCCCTGGGGTGGGCGGCGGCCGTGGGCGGGTGGTGGCCGTGGGGCAGGCGGCGGCCCTGGGGCGGGCGGTGGCCGTGGGGCGGTGTGGGCTCCAGCACTCCCTGACCTCTTCCCCTAGTGCCAAACAAAGCAAAGAAACAAAGGGAGAATAAGGTGGGGTCGGGTGTTGGTGGCTTCTTTCTTCTAGAATTCAGAGAGATAACATTCCTTTAGCCTCTGGTTCCTCCACTTTAAAGTAGGGCGCCACGCTGCCTGGCCAGGAAAAATGGCCCATAGGGATCTCTGAATTCTGTCATCGTGGTCTGGCCCGTATCTAAGGGGGCAGAGGAGGCAGACAGGGAGAGCAAATGCATTTCTTTGGAACATGGAAGAATCTGGCGTGATGGATATGCAAACGAAAGGCTTCCGTGTTGAAGGAAGCAAGGGGAAACACCCACCAGGTACAAATCCCACGCCTTTGGGATAAGCCCACGGAGAGAACTGAGTGGAAGCCTCGTGAACGAAGAAGAGGGTTTGGATTTCAGCAGGGTTTCCTAGCCGCAGGTGGAGTGAGCTCTGCTCCTGGAGCAGCATTGGGTCTCAGCCCGGGGCGCTGGCCGTCCTATCCCCCTCCAGCCCCTTGCCTGGTCCCGGCCAGGGCAGAACGGACCCCGTGTGGCGTGGAGGGAGCTGGCAGAGGCCGGGAGGGGCAGGCGTGGCGCAGGTGGAGGGCGCCAGCAGCATCAGCTCTGGCACTCGCAGGATGTCAGTCAGGAAAGGGTCGCCCGGTCTGCTGGGATCGGCTGTCTGTGAGCTCACTGTGGGGCCCCGTGAAACCCCAAAGCAGAGCCCTTGAGCCTGGTGACCATCCTCCCTTCGCGGCCTTTTCCCCGCAGGTGTCCCCCGCACCCACGACAGTCCCAATGCAGAATTCACGCCATCGGGCAAATGCAGTGGAATCTTCCAGCAGGTCTCCAGGCCGGTTCTGCTTCTTTCTCTCTCGGAACTCTTTGGTTCTACTTTTTCCCTGCTTCAAAGGCAACCACAAATAAAGCAGCGTCACAGCCAGTGGCCCAGGCGCTGATCGTGGAGGAGGGCAGCGGGGAGGAGGGAGAGGCAGGGAGGAGGGAGAGGCAGGGAGGCGATCCGAGGAGGACATCTTGGGAATTCTGTCTCCAGGAAGGTGGGTGTGTGTGCGGGGCTGGAATGGCTGCCAGCAGGCGGTTTGGATCCCTGTCAGCCTGTCAACCCGCTGCTCTGGGCAACCGGTTTAAACTCAGCATCGGCCTCGAACCAGGACATGGAGTGATCTTCAAGTGCTCGCTAGAGGGAGGGAATCCTTCTGTTGCCGACAATCCTGGCAGTGCAGTCAGGCCTGGCTCAAGTCCAGACCCTGACATTTCCTAGGCACAACTTGGAAATGTGCCTCGGTTTCTCACCTGACACAGGGTGGGGAGCGACAGACACGCAGGGAGTGTCGTAGGGGTTGGTGGGGTGACGGGGATTGACCAGTGCCCCGGGGGCAGATCAAGGCCTCAGTGCTGCCCTCCTCCGGAAGGAGGATGATGGGGGTGGGGGGTGGGGGGCGGGGACCCACTGAGGGTCAGGGGACGGGGTGAGAGTGATGGAGGGTCGCCCCGTTAAAACGTAACATCACCGCTGGGAAACCCCATGGGATGGCCTTGGACAGTTCATCTACACTCAAGAAATGATGCCTGTAATCCACGCTGCTCAGGAGGCTGAGATTCCAACAATCGCAGCTCAAAGCCAGCCTAGGCAGAAAAGTGTTCAAGACCCCCATCTCCAAAATGACCGGCAAAAAGTTGGCCTGGAGGCATGACTCAAGTACCAAGCACCACGCTAGCAAGCCAGCCAGCCAAGCGAGTGTGAGGCCCTGAGTTCAAATCCTGGTACTTACTGCCAAGAAAAAAGAAGACAGGAAAGAGAGTGAGTGAGGGCCAACAGTCCAACTACTTTACATGTGTGGAAATACAGCCCCGGGACCTGCTGAAGCTGCTTTCAGAGGGGAGGGGCGGGGGAGGCAGAGGGGAAGAGGGGCCAGGCTGGTGCGTGCACTGGAAATACCACAGTGAAAGCCCCTTGCACAACTGATGTATGCAACTAAAAGCCAAAAAATAAAAGCAAGGAGAAGAGATGTTCTGTTTAGGGCAAGGCCCAATGTCCTGTAAGGGACTCTGCCCCTTGGACCACGGGACCACGGAACCACAGGATGCACAGTTTTCTGCAGAGGGAGTCCCTGGCCTGGATGGAGTTGCAGCCCTCCTCTGAGTGGATCAAAGAGGCCTGGGGTGGTGCTGGTCCCCCGGCCCCCAGCCGGCAGCCTTTAGACCCGGGCTGGCTCTTCCATGCAGCCAGAGAGAAGCCCCGTGGTGGATGACTCTGTCTCGTCTTCCGGGACGTGTCTGCATTTCCAGGGGTGGTGACCCCTCTGCCTTGTTGCTCAGCACCTCAGATCTCAGTCCTGAGGTGTGACCGGAGGCCTAGAGCAGTGCCCGCACTGGAATCAACCCCTCCCTTTGAAGATTAATTTTACACACAGTTTTATCTTTTGAAGGGGCTGCCTGTCTTTGCCTCTGCATAGCTGGGAATACAAACATCTGCTCCATGCCCAGCTATTTTTTTTTGTGGTGGTCCTGGGGCTTGAACTCAGGGCTTGGGCACTGTCCCTGAGCTCCTTTTGCTCAAGGCTAGCACTCTACCACTTCTGGCTATTTCTGTGATTAATTGGAGATTAGAGTCTCGGGGACTTTCCTGGTCTGGCTGGCTTTGAACCCTGATTCTCAGATCTCAGGCTCTTGAGTAGCTGGGATTACAGGCGTGAGCCATTGGCACCTGGCTTCAGTTTGTTTACGATGGGATCTTACTAACTTTTTGCCAGTGATGGCCTCAAACCACATCCCCATTATCTCCACCCATCCAGTAGCTGAGATTACGGGTGTGATCTGGGCTGCTTCTATTGTTTTTCTCTGTGGGGTCTGTGAGTGGTATTTATGGGACACTCCTGGCTGTGCGTTCCATTTGCACAGGTGAGGCTGCAGATGGCCTCTTTCCCCAAGTCCAGGGGACCAGGGTGTCATGAGGACGGCTTCATCTGACTTCTAGCCCTGCAGGCCACTCTGGGTCCCTGCAGGGGGCACCGATTGCATTTCGTGCTCAGAGGCCTTTGGGAGCTGGGATTGTTTTTCACTCTGCTTTCTTACTAACAGCTCTTAAGATAGAAAGCGAATTTCTCTGAAATTGAAATGGAAGCATTGTAATTAAACATTTATAACCAAAGCAGATTTATAGCTATGGTGGTTACATTTTTTTTTATTGTCAACAGATGCTGTCGAAGCTAAATAACCCATTGAAGCGATAAGAAAAACGTTTTATTTATTTTTTTAAATCTGTTAACCACAGTAAACTTTATTCTGTTTGTTTTCTCTGGGGTCTTGGTGACAATAAATAGAAGGCAGTTGTGTACCGTGAAATTAAACTAGATCGGGAGGCCCAGGGCTGATGGAGCAGTGTATTTTCCCTCTGTGGTGATTTAATAAGTTGCCTTCATAAGGGCTGAGAAACGCCCTTTGGGTTTGGGGTGCCTGCGGGT